CATGCAGTGAAAGAGATGAGCATGCAGTGAAAGAGATGAGCATGCAGTGAAAGAGATGAGCATGAGATTCTATCACCAATATCACATGTAGTCCTATGAACACAACCGATAAATATCAATGCCCTGTGTGTAGATTACCTGGAATTACTGCAGACTGTAATGATTGGGAAGGGGAGTCACATTTAAGTATGACAGAGTTTTGTTTTCATGCTGTTAATGTACATTAGTGTATGCCAACATTTCCAATTCTTGTGGAAGAGAGTGTTAATCTGATGACATCTATGTTAGGTTACAACTGAGAGGTAGTTACCTGGTCCTCAACAAATGTTGTTTTTTGTTCCACAACTACTGTATGTGCCTCTTTAAGGACATCAATACCATGTTCCATGGATGGTAACACATTATGATAATGTGATGGTGCTTCCTGTCTGTTTACTCCTTTTATGTTTTTAGCTTCGTTTTTGCCCGATACTGGTATTTGATCAGGTTTAAAGTTCTGTTTCTTAGGTTCTGAGGTGGTCTTAATTGGTTGCCATAGTGGCCGCGTCTTCTCTGGTTTGGAAGAGGAAACAATGTATGCAGGTTCCTCATCCTCAGATGAACGTGTCAATATTCCTCTTTCCTTTCGCAGTATTTCTTCACGCTCCCTCTCCTGGCGAATTTCTCTCTCAATACGACTCTCAATACTGATTGGTGAAGTCTTGTGAATATCATCATGCTCAGGCAAGGCATGAGAACAAGTCTTTACTCTGCCAAGATGCAACAGTTCCTCTTCTTTCTCCCTTTGTGCTCTGAGTTCTTTTTCAAGGACTGACTTCCCAAACTCTGATTTCTCTGCAACAACTTCATCATTCTCACTAGAAACACTTTTTTCTGAATCATTAGAAGAAACAGATTCCTCTTCATCATCAAGTATTGTTGGTTCACTTCTTGAGTAACCATGGGATACTGCTTTATCTTGTTGCTTAGCGACATATGGCTCATATTTATTCCCACTATGAGCAGCCTGGAGTTCTCTTTGAAACTCTAGCTCTTTTTCCCGCTGCAGTCGTATTTCTTTTTCAATTATACTTTCATGTTTCTCTATCTTGTCATCTAACTCATCATCTTCTTGCACATAAGCATGTTCGCTGCTGTCAGTAAATTCATATGATCCCTCAATACTTTCCGATGCACTCGCTGAATCATGATCTTCATCTTTTGGTGGCAATTGTCTCTCTACACGTTGCTGCTTTGCATTGTATTTTGTGACATGTGGATAAACAGGTAAAGGAATCTCATTCTTCAGTGACAATCGTTGTTCCCACTGCATTCTCGTCTTCGCTGTATTGCAAATCGATTCACCCTCATCCTCACCACTATCTCTATGCATGTCATCTTGAATTTTTTGTTTTTTATCGTTCTCAGAACCAATGTTCTCAGACTCAGGCATGGCTAGCTTTTTATCCCATTGTTGTTGAATGGCAAACCTATCGATATGGTCGTCATCTATCCCAGAATGCACTGCTAAAGTTGCATTCTGTCTAGGAATATCTTCCACTACTGGTATGTCTTCACTTTTCAATGTGTCCCCAAGCCCACTATCCCAGGTATCATTCAGACTGGTTGATGAATCACTTTTATTACGTTCTTTTTTCTTCTTTCTTTCTTCATATTGCTTTATACTTTCTAAGGTTTTCATATCAGTGTGCGTTTCATCATTCTTATCTGCAATCCAAGGTGGGTGAACTTGATTGGTTTTCAACACTCTTTGTTCAGCAATGATGTTTTTTCTTAACCTTTCTCTCTTAAATTCGGGGTCTTCTTCCTCAGTTGTTGTCAAAACTTCAACAATGCATCTTTTAGGAGCTTCTTTTTTCCTGAAAACAGGACCAAAATCCTGGTAGACGTTTACAGGCATTGAGGGCTTTATTGATCGCCGACTGACAAACTCTCTGTCTTCTGTGGCTGGGTCATTACTGGCTGACATGGTAGTCTCCCACTTTTCAATTAAAGCATGTTTATCAATTGGTTTGGTGTCAATATTCTCATCATTGTCAACACGCTCACACTCTCGAAGATCTCTTTCTTCAGCTGTTATTTTGTAAACTTGATAACTTGCATCCAATATGTCATCATCATCAGTATTAAAAACTTGTATTGGTTCTTTCGTAGATTCCAATACGTCATCAGTATTAAAAACTTGTATTGTTTCTTTCGTAGATTCCAATACGTCATCAGTATTAAAAACTTGTATTGTTTCTTTCGTAGATTCCATTACGTCATCAGTATTAAAAACTTGTATTGTTTCTTTCGTAGATTCCAATACGTCATCAGTATTAAAAACTTGTATTGTTTCTATCGTAGATTCCAATGCGTCATCAGTATTAAAAACTTGTATTGTTTCTTTCGTGGTTTCTAATTCTTTCATTCTGACATCCGGTTGTGTTTCTGGTACAATGCTGTCGGACTTAGTCGCTTTCGTAAGCAAAGTCTTGTCATTCTTATCGCTCGGCCAAATAATTTCTGGTGTAGAATCAATCTCTCTGACCAGCACTTTCTTTGTAGAAAACTCCATTTTTGGGGACTCTTCAGTTGGTGATATTGGAGTCCATTCCAAATTAACTAAGTCACCTTCATTTGTTTCAGTGACTGGTGATGGAATGTTTGGTAATTTCTGGTTGAATAAATCAGTATCCGTGTAAAAAGGTGATTTTTCATCATTTGTGGAGACTTGTGAAATATTTAGTGGTGGAGGTGTATCTGGTAGTTCTGGAGAGAGCAAATCATCATTACCCATATCAAAAGCCATGCCGTCATTTTTACTGGATAACAAGTCTGGTGTCTGAAGAGATGTTTCTATTTTTGGTTTCTCAGGCAAGAATATATCACCAAATCCATCATCTTGTTTATCTTTTACAGTGACTGTTGAGTCAACTCCCTCGGGTAAGTAAAAAGAGTTATCAAATTCAACAATTGGTTGATAAATTTGTGGAGGGGGTGGACTGACTGGTAATTCAGGGGTCATTATATCATAGAATAAAGAGCCATCGGTATGATCCGATGCCACATTACTTTCTTCTGCAAGTGGCTTTCCTGTAGGTGACTGCGATGGAAAATAAAAAGAAAAATCATCAATGTTTGTTTCTGGTGTTTTATTTTCTTTCTTAGGAGGCCCATCCATTGGTAATTGTGGAGGAGCAACATCATCAGGAGTGGAATAGAAGGAGATATTTTCATCCTGATCAGGATTGAAGAAACTGTCTTTGTTTTCACAAAGTTGCCTCCGATTCTTCTCACTTTCTCTCAAAGCTTCATCCATTTCTTCATCACCTTGACTATCCCCTAGTTGCTCAGCAACAATAACATTGGACTCTTGTTGATATTTTCCTGCAACTTCATCTGAAGAAGTCTTTAACAGATCATCTGCTTCAATTTTCTGTTAATAAGAATAAAAATTTCTCATATTTTCATTTTTTGCAATAAGACAAAATAATTCATACCTTCTATGAGAGTCAAATCTGAGCCTTGTAATAAGAATTAAAATTGACAATTAAAAGAATTCAAATGTTGGTAATTAACATTATCATTGCTGGATAAAAGTACATATCAAGGTATTCCATCATTTACACTAGATACGGTAAATACCTTATAATTGTGGCCTTAAAAAGAAACATACACAAGTTATGCTTCTTTAAGAATTATTATTTCTCATTCCTTTTTAATCATTAATGTGATTACTGACGGTGACCTATGACCTAAGTGTATGTATAGCCTGTACTAGGATTTGATTCAATTGGGACAGTAGTTCTTATTTGTAAATTAGATTACAGAAAAATGTTGCAAACTGTTTCACAACTTAAATACACTACAAAAAAGTGCAATGAAAGCAGACATACATGTTTGGATTCATCCATTGCCTTAACTTTTTTTACTGTTACAACAAATGGTTTCATTAGAAATGGCACCTAAAATAGTGATCCACAATCTACTGTAGTAATGCAGACTTTGGAGCAAATTTAGTCTTTTACTGTCTAAATCTGGCAGGTTTACTCAAAACATTTAGTGAAACCCCTGATTTAAGAATAAACGCAGAAAGTAATTAAAAGCAACTTTTGAAACCTATCTTCAAATAAATCTCTTAAAATTTTTGTAGGATAGACTCTTAGTAATAAAATGCTATTAAATGAGTCTATTTATAGAAACTACCAAACTGTAATAAAATGTTTTTGTGACAAGAGTATTCAACTAACAAACAATCTAATTATTAACTATAACATCCTGTTTAATAGTATGAAATGAAGAATGTAGAAAACAAGTACTACAGTTAAGGTGTGCAGCCTTTATTTTGCAATTGTAACAACTATATGGTGACACTCTTTATACTTAATAACCCATGACAATCCTAGCTACAATACATAACAAGTCTTGCTTCTACACACTTGATATGTTAAACTTTAATTTTTTCCTTTTATTTTTACTATTTTAATAAAAATGAAAATATGTTCAAAAAGTAGGATTATTAATAAGTAGAAAAATTATTGAACCCTTGAAACCATGGTTACACAGTATAGAAAGAGTACATTACTCCCAATCTTTTCCTGCTATCTGCAATAAATCATTTTCCCACCAAAGTTGTTGAGTACATTCTTTCATGTTTAATTTTGTAATTTGCATTTGTGCATAACCTCTTACATCTAAAGGTCACACTTCACTATCATTAAAACTTTCTTTTATAATTTTGATTTGTTAATTATCATGAACCCCCAAAACAGTTTTAACATGGTGGAATTCAAGGTTTAGTATTATAAGCTTATTTATAATATACCAGTACTGTAATTAATGCCCGAGTGCATCGTACATAGAATAATATAGTAGCATACAATGCACTCAAACACATTCATGTATTTTGTGTAAAACTTATTATTATATGGTCTGGATTACTGACTGT